CTCTGTGCTAAGCTGGGATGTAGCAAAAAAGCTACATTTTAAGCCTCCAAAAGCAGGAAATGCAGGGCTCTGTAAACACCACTTACATGTCCCACAGCCTGCTCCACCCCTCTTCTTTCTTCTCCTTGTCAACAAGGATCTACCAGGGCTCCGCAGTCACCAACAGCTCCTGTTCTTTCCTCGGCTGCAGTTTTTCTCTCCCCCTTGTTCAGCCTCCTCCTCTTAATGAGATGTCCTCAGCTGCATTTCTTTTTTTAGTAATATATTTAGTAATATATTTCGTGTTCCAGGTCAAATCAGTCAAATCAGTTCCAAATCATGGCAACTGAGCAAAACTCAATCGTTCCCAAAACCGTATCAATTGAGCAGGCAGAACTCAATCATTCTAAACGTCTTGTATGGCACTACAAATGGCGAGCATCCTTCATCCCAGATCCTTACCCTAGGACTTCAGATACTCCCAAATTCATTGGCAGCCATCCTATGTCCAGGCCCAAGCCCGGAGGTCTTGGGATTTGGATGCCCCTGACACAAGCTGCATAAAAATGCCCAGGGAGAGGAAGATGTCCGAAGCACTAGGTCACAGAGATGCCTTGCTTCATCCCAGTGGGGATTCTCATTTCCTATCCCCTTCCCTGTGCTTGAGAGCCTGAGACATAGGATCATAGAAAATGAGGGTTGGAAGGGACCACAGGAGGTCACATCTAATCCAATCCCCTGCTCAAAGCAGGACCAGCCCCAAGTAGATCATCCCAGCCAAGGCTTTGTCTAGCCAGGTCTTGAAAGCCTCCAAGGATGGAGATTCCACCATCTCTCTGGGTAACCTGTTCCAGCGTTTCACTACCCTTCTCGTGAGAAAGTTTTTCCTTATATTTAACCTCAGCTTCCCTTGCTGCAACTTGAAATAGTTGCTCCTTGTTCTGTCATCTGCCACCACTGAGAATAGTCCAGCTCCGTCCTCTTTCAAACCTCCCGTGCAGGTAGCTGAAGGTTCCTATTCAATCCCCTTCAGTCTTCTCTTCTGCAGGCTAAATAAGCCCAGTTCCCTCAGCCTCTCCTCATAAGTCACGCGCCCCAGCTCCAGGATGGATTTGATTCAAATCAAATCGATTTAAATCATGATTTAAATCACTGGTCAGGAAGCCTCAATTTAATCACTGTTTTACAGCAAAAATTAATTCCTGTTGTCTGATATAACCTTCATTAAAATATTCCCAAACAAGGTCTCTTGCTACCCTGATAGGTTTTCCCTCTCACCATGCCATTCCCTCACTAGATCTCAAATCAATGGAGAGGCTATAACTGATCCCTCCAGGCTTCTGGAATAGTCTGCTCAAATTGTTTCTCTTTTGTTTCTACTGTCTCTCCCTCCTTGCATTTATCTCCAGACTCTTCCTTGCCCAGATCTACTCCACCCCCATCAATCTACTCATTTAACTTCCTGAAACTTTTAGAGAGAGGAAAGGGCTTGACTCTGTACACAAACTTGCAAAGTGAAAATAGGGCTGATTGGTAGGTAATCAGGTCTGCTATCTCTCATCTCCATATACTGCTGTTAGTAAGGGTGTTATCTCTGGAGAGACAAATCCAGTTTGAGAACTGAAACTAAGCATCACAGAGATGCATCATGGGATCTTCTAGACTGAGCACTGAGTCCCATTGGGTAGAGTGGTTCTCTTTACTCTTTATTAATCTATAGAGGAGCCTCTGTGAACCACAAAAGATTGCAAGCCCCTAATATAGTCCATGGCCTGTCGTAACCTATTTATAAAACTTTTCTAAAAAGGCTACATGATTTAATGACTCAAATAGTATATAATTAGAAGTTATAATTCCTATTGCATGATGATATCTTTGAGCTCTAACATATCTTAAATTAAAACTATATATAGATTTATTGTTTTTTAAGCATCTTAAAAAAATACAATTAAATAAAAAAATCTGATTTAAATTAAAAATAACATTTTTAATTTTTTTTTAATTGTTGATTTTAATCCACACTGCCCAGCCCCCTAACCATTTTCATGACTGAATGCTGCTCTTTTTACCTAGCTGCAGCCTTTCTCTCCTCCCTTGTTCATCACCCTCATCTTAATGAGATATTCTCAGGTGCATAAAAATGCCCATGGAGTGGAAGATGGCCTGAAGCAGTAGCTCACAGAGATGCTTTGCTCCAGTCCAGTGCTTGAGAGTCGATGACATGGATTGAGCATACCTGTTCTCAGCTCCTCACCTTGACCACAGCACTGTGGTTTTCATGGGTGCACTAAAGCAGGGATATTCAACTTCCAAGTGGCCAGGAGCCAATGCTTTGTACTCCATGCCAGCAAGAGTGCAGGACCCAGAGGATGTACCAGGGCAAGCCATGGGCTGCTGGGCCCCATATCCCCCGCACTGCTGCACTACACAGCCCTAGACTCACCCTCACCTCCCCATGCTGCATACCTCATTGTCCTACTCCCTGGGGATGGGGCAGGAAGTGGCAGCCAGGGAAGCCCCCAGCTGCTATTGCAGACAGAACAACAGTGGGAGCAGCAGCTGAGCAAGTCCCCGGGATCTGCAACTTAACCCCTGCAACCTTGACATCTTGCATTAAAGTCTGTGTGTAGCTACCATATTGGAATCCAAGACGGCTGCTGTGAATTCATGTTTTGGTCAATATTTCAGTCCCCGCTAGCGTTAGAACATTAATTCCAGTGACAAAACCAACAGTGTATGCATCGAGATCAACTGTAACATTTGTCACCATAGCCATATTGGATTTCAGGATGCCTGACACATTACAGATTCACAGAGGTTTAGGGCTGGAAGGGACCTCGTGAGATCATCGGGTCCAGCCCCCCTGCTTGGGGCAGAAAAGACTGCTGAAGTCAAATAACCCCAGTAAAGTGTGCATCCAGCTCCTTTTTATGATCACAGAATCATAGAATAGTAGGACTGGAAGGGACCTGAATGATGATCAAGTCTGGACCCCTGCCATGGGCAGGAAGTAGTTGGACTCAAATGAGCTCAATGAGGTGTTTGTCTAGCCCAGAGGTGGGCAAAATGTGGCCCGGAGGATGGATGTGGCCCGCCAAGCCATTCTATCCAGCCCGTGGGGCCCCTAAAAAATTTAGAAAATTAATATTTATCTGCCCCTGGCTGCTTATCATGCGGCCCTCAATGGCTTGCCTAAACTCAGTAAGTGGCCCTCTGCCCAAAATAATTGCCTGCCCCTGGTTTAGCCTCATCTTGAACACCTCCAGGGATGATGACTAGGCCTGTGCAAATAGGGAACTAATCGATTTGGATTCAGATTCAGCTGATTCGGATGCCAGAGATTCAGTTCAGAGATCTGAATCAGTTTTCCAAAATCGATAGCTTTAATCATGGTGGGGGAAAATATGTATGTATTATTTTACGGAGTTGCAGTATCACAAAGTTTGAGAACCCCTAGTCTAATCCAGTGGTAATATAAAGGTAATGCAATGGTATATATAACAATGGGTAATTGCAGTTTTTCAGATCTCTTCATCACTTGAATCCGTTTCTGAATCCCTGTCGTTATTATGTGGGTTGCATCATGATGCCTCACAGCATTTGCAGCTGAGACTGCATGGCACGTGAGCCTGCTTGCACGAGTATGCTGGTCCCCAAGATGCGGTCTGGCACTTGAAACTTGTTATCCGAAGATATTCTGCTGGTAGTGACTCACACGCAGTTAAGATTCTAACATAATAAAGGGCTTAATCAGTCTGTCTGGCTGGCTGTCCATAATGCTTTTGCTTAAGTGTGCATGTGCTGCCGAGATAGGGTTACCATACATCTGGGTTTCCATGGACGTGTCCCCGCTATTTTAAGCCCTCTGATCACCATCCAGGCAGGTTTCTTTAAATTTGCCCAAATGTCCAGGATTTACCTTTGCTCCACTGGTGGGAGCCAGGGGAAGGTGAGGAGAGGCAGCGGGGAGCACACATGGACCTGCCTGCAGCTGCGGAGGCAGCAGACCCATGCAGTGCTCCTGCTGTCTCAGATCGCCTCCCCCTGCTCCCACCTCCAGAGCCCAGCAAGATCCTAGACATTTGGGCAGGACAAGGGGAGTGGGGGCTGCAGCTGCGACAGGGCAGCGGGGGGAGGGAACAGTTGCCTGTTTTTCAGTGGGGAAAAGGGTGGGGCGGCAGCACCGGCGCCAGTGCCTGTACTCAGAGGGGCTGGGCAACCAGTAGCCGCTGCCTGGGGAGGGGGTGAAGAGCGGGGAAGGGGAGAGAGGCCCTGGCCAAGCTGCCCGCAGGGCACTGCAGCCCTATCCCAGGGGTGCCACAAGCCTCCCGTCCTCTTCCCTCAGCCTGCGCTGGGGCTGAACACACTCCACTGCCACCTGCATGAATCGGAGCCACCACGCTCCAGCCCGAGCAGGGTGGGGGGGGGAGGCAGGGGGCTACAGGTCAGGAGTGAGGGGCACTATCATGGTCCAGGGGGCAGGGTACTGCAGTTTGGTGAGTTAGGGGCACTGGCAGTGCCAGGAGGCTGTGGGTCAGGAGTGGGGGGCACCAGCAGGGTCCAGGGGGGCAGGGTTTGGTGAGTGAGGGGCACTGGCAGGGCTGGGGTCAGTGGGTTGGCAGTGGGGGCAGCAGCAGGGGTGGGGGGCTGTGGCTTGGCAGTGAGGGGCAACAGAATGGGCAGTGCCAGGGCCACTCCTCTGAAATCCATCATTCATCACAGGCAATTGGCTAGTAGGAATATAACCATAATTTCCAACTTGCCAACCACATTGGTCAGGTGAATGCAATGGTGGATTAGGGTCAAGTAGACGTCACCAAACAAGACTTTGATAATTGGTTCTACATACATGGTGCATAAGGGAGTCATAGGTAGGCAGAAATTTATCCAGAGCTTTTCCTTGGTGGAATACTTTCACCCTAACATCCAGAAGGATTATAAAAAATGTTGACAGCTAATACAACAATGCAACAAACTTTTCTACACAACTGGACAAATCCTTAACAACATCAGGCCCACTTCGCAGACCTGCCACTTTCCAAGCAGTTTTCTTAGTGTGACCACTGAACTGGCTTGTGGTATCACAACCAGTGACTCTATGAAATCCAGTTAGAGATCCACGGACTGGTTCAGGCAGTTCTGACACAATATCATGAACTGGAATTAATCTTACTGGGTTGCTTCTCTTCATCTAAACCTCATCGTCACATGAGTCGAAGTGCTCTGCTTTTCCATCAGCAAAACCACCAACAATGAGCGCTTGTTCACTTTGGAAACATCAACATGATTCCTAAAGAAGTTCCTTACTTAGAAAATGAACTGGGTTTTCTTTGTTTGCTGGTAAGGATGTGAAACTACACCATGATACTGATAACAGAAGAGATCTGCTGCTAATGATTCTGCAGATCGGCCTAGTAGTTTGAATCTTTAATATTCTTGTGTCTGCCTTTATGGATGGTGATGTGTATTGATTGAAGACAATGTTGATTCAATCACATGTGCTGGCATAGTTGGTAAACACTTGTTGTACAAAAGAATCAGCCAAATCCCCAAATGTTTGTGCAGTTTCCGGCTTTCTTATCCTCTGTACAATATGCCGTACCATTGATCATATCAGTTGATTTCTCGGAAGTAGCATCTGGCAGAACAGTTACTGCTTTATCTCCAATCAAGATCTGTGACAAAGCTGCTTTGTGAGCCTCACTGAATGAATTGTTAGGTTTAAAAGTGATGGAGGGTATTCAGACAGCTCATGCTCCAGGAGAGAATGCACATTGACCCTTCGGCAATGCTGCGAGTAGCCTTTGCTGGATCTCTTTTGCATTCTGCTCCTCTTTCATTTTGCTGCACAGTCCCACATCTGACTTTACATCCTTGAAGGTTTTCAATTTTGATTTGGGTACATTTGCATAGAAGCTCTTGGCAGCATCTGCAGTAAGATGTTTCCGGATAATGGTGTTCATGATTTTTCTTCCTTTGTCATGTGTATTCAGAGTGTCTGTGCAAGTCTGAAGTTCTTGCTTCATTTGCTTCAGTGTGGTCAGAGGACGTTCACCACTTTCATCTTCTACTAAACTGCAGTATGTTTCAAATATATCTTTCACACTGAACATATTTTTCCATACAAAACTGGCATCTAGTTCAGGGGTGGGCAAAATAAAGCCTGTGGGAAAGATTAGGCTTGCGGAGGGACTTTGTTGGCCTGCAGTAGGTCCATCAGTCCTGTCTGGCCCAGACACCATCCAGCCCGTGGCACATCCCGCCACCCCCTAGGCATACAGCGGGGCTGGGGCAGCTCCACAGCTGGCCTGCTTTCCTAGGCAGCCCAAGCAGCAGTGTTTCCTTCTGGCTGCTACCACCACTGGCCCCAGTCCCATGGTACTGGCGGGGACCCACACACACAGCTCTGACTCCAGCCTGCCCTGTGCCTGCTCCAGAGTCAGCCTGATGGAGCAGATCAGCTCTGGATGAACCAGAACCTGCATGCAGAGCCCTGACCCCGGCCTGCTGAGCAGTGGCAGCAGCTGGGCAGAAGCTGCTGCTCGGCACAGGGGAAAAGCAGTCCCTCTCCTTTGCCACTGCTGGGCCCTTCTTGCTGCAGCATCCCGGAGCCCATGCCCGGGCTGCCCTGCAGGTTCTCTGCATTGCCACGGAGGCAGCAGTGCAGAAGAGCTGCAGGGCAGCCAGGTGCAGGCTCCAGGCGGCTGCAGCAAGAAGAGCCCTGCAGTGGTAAGGGGGACGGGCTGCTTTTCCCCTGTGCCAAGCAGCAGCTTTTGCCTGGCCACAGCCATGACCACTTCTCAGCATGGGTGGGTGGTCCAGAGAAGGCGCAGGGCAGGCCAGGGTTGGGGCTGTGCGTGCAGGTTCCTGCTCACCCGCTCTGGCCAGGGCAAGTCCAGAGCGGGTGCAGGGTGGGCCAGGGTTGGGGCTGGGGCTGTGCACTGTTGGCGTTGGCAGGGAGGAGCTGCAGGCCATGCAGGCTCCAGGCTGTTACAGTGCAAGGGAGGGGGAGGTTGCTGACCGGCCTGTGGCAGGTCCCCAGAACTGCCTGTGTGGCCCACAGGCCCAAATAATAGTCCTCCCGTGATCTAGTTCATCAAATCACTTGATGCCATGCTTGTGCTTCAGCGGAAGGAAAAATATCTTCTTGCATGATCTCCACATGCAAATGGGAATGAGAGACTTGTTGCTCCCACCTGCATTCAGAATGGTAACATGCCTCAGCAGCTATTAGATCTTCAACAGCAATTCGGCAACGTAACACTTCATTCTTCTCTGCCAGCTTGCGTACTACATTGGCCAATTCAAACGACAACGCTTAATTCAGTCTCTTCTTATTAGCACTTTTCTGACAGAATATGCACATCCTTCTGCCCCACAGCTGCCCCAGCCCTGCTGTGTGCCCAGGGGGTGGCAGGATGTGCCACAGGCTGGACGGTGCCTGGACCAGACAGGAAAAAGGGACCTACTACAGGCCAGACAAAGTCACTCCACAGACCTAATCCTTCCCGCAGGTTGTATTTTTAACTGCTAGAGTAGATGGCCTGCTTGATGTCCTAGCGTGTTCTTCACTTGGCGTTGCTGGCAGGGCTTCCTTTTCATCTTCTACCTTGCAAAATGGTCTTAAAAATCTCTCAACATGTCTTTTGTGTGTGAAAGAAATGTTAATATAATAAAAGGCTTAGTCCGTCTGTATCTCTGTAATGCTTCTGGCCAACTGTGCATGTGCAACTGAGAGGGCGGGCTGCGAGTGCCCGGACAGCCCAGCTGCATAGGCTAGCGAACAACCCCTGGCCCCTCAGCAGCAGTGCTTCCCCGCCTCCCTGCCTGAGGGCAAAGTGGGGGGTCACGGTGGCGGCGCCCCCCACTGCCTGGACCAGAGGACCCCCAAAATGGGCCAGGCAGGCCCAAAGGGTGGGGGGGAGCGGGCTCGGAGCCAAAGTGGCAGGGGGAGAGGGAGGGAGGGGAGCGGGGCCAAACCAAAGCAGTGGGGGGAAGCAGAAGAGCGAAGCAGGACCAAAGCGATGCAGGGGAAGGAGGGGAAGTGGGGTGGGACCCAAAGAGCGGGGGGAGGGTGGGTGAAGCGTAGTTGGAGCTGAAGCAGGAC